TGCTCAATGATTTATAATGCCGCATTGTTGTCGTTAAATAGAGTGAGCGTGACGCTATATAGAGTGTAATATTGTATAGAAAACAATGTAAACCAACCAAAGTCAAGCAATTTCGGCGTTTTAAGGAGTTTGTCGTTAAATCGAATGACGTTATAAACAGTTTACACTGTAAGTACTTCAATTTCTTCAGGTGAAGATTTTAATAAATAATTCGTTGAAATGACATAAGAGTTTTACTTTATTTAGAAAAGAGGGTTAAAGATGTAGAATAATCTAGCGATAAGTATCACCAGAGTAGCGATTAGTCATTGTTACTTGGGAAGACCTAACTAAGATTTGTAACCGCATGAACCATCGCCCTTGGGATCAAAGATTCTCGATCTCATTTTGTAATAAATGACTTCTTGCAGAAATATCGTCGAAATAATTCATGAAGCCTCTCCGCAACCACTTTTTCATCAATTATGTGTGACCACAAGTTTGGAAAAGCCTTATCAGTTTTTGTCAATGCGTGATGATCAAATGTACAGAAGTTACACGGGGAATACTAAAATGCGTTTCGATATAATCAATCAATCGGTTAGGGTAGGTATTAAAATGGGTTTTAAGTTGAAACTGTCGAAATGAAGGGACAATTTGTGGAATTATAATGATTAGAAACGTTTTGAACTTTTCAATTAAAAAAGTACAATATACAGATGGTGTTTTGTGAATGAGAGTTGAAAATGTCTTTTAACAATACCTATGAATTTCTCGAATGTGGTGACGCCGTCAGATTCCTTTTGTTGATTCATATCAAAGGGGAAAATTACTAAAGCAGTAATTATTAATATACTTACATTATGATTGATTTGATTTCTTTTTTTTTCAGGAATGGGCCTTCGTTTCGGACTTAGACAGGAAATCACCGCCATGGGTAAGTGAATTTTAACTTTTGCTTTCCCATACTGAACGTTTTTTTGAATTATCAAGTGGGATATGTTAGTGGACATCTCTCTCCCTCTTACTTACTACTTGCAGGAATAAAGAGAGAGAAAGCTACCACGGTAGGTTCGATTAGTCTACCATCTGTTGAATATATCTAATAGGAGTCATGTTAAGAAGATTTGGAAACTAACCTGTTAGTAGCCCTAAAATTTCAATTTCCAAATATCGTTAGGGTGTAGCGCTTATGGAATCCTTATTAGTTTTCTTTTTTTTTACAAAATACGTTGACCAATATTTATAATTAATGTTTATCGAATAGGTAGGGTGTCTCAAGACATCGCACACCTTGTTTTTCATATTTTTCTGTACAACTATTTCCTTGAAAGGACCTATAGAATTAAAACAAAAGAAAATGGCGCGTGTCTTCCGGTGATAGATAGCCTGCAATTATGTTGATGAAAAACACTCACTGCTAAACATTAAAAATTATTTAGTTTTGGGTCTTGTGTCTTTTTGTTTTTTTCCTGCGTCCGTTGAAAGGCGTCCAGTTACTTTGAACATGTACTGTTGAAGGCTCTCATTATTTTTGAACAAAGAGATATTTGTCTTTGTAACCGGTTACCGTTAATCGTTTCGTTCGTTAAACCAAACAGACTAATGATTGCCGTGGCTGCTCAGCTGAAAAGTTGGCCGCCACATATCCAAAGGGACGACGGACGCCCAGAACCAAATTACAAAGAAAGTATTTGTATTGTACGTACGCGTGTATTGAATATATATTGAAAAAAAAATCGTCCGACACATGCACCTAACCTTGACCCTCCGGCATAAATTCTAAACTCGGCTAGTACTGCTAAATAATAGAAGTGGGCGAAACACGTGTCCATAGTGAATAGGTTTTGTGACTTGTGTGACTATGGAGCGAGACTGTTTTTGATCTATTTATTGTTTTAATTGCTGCATTCCATACCGTAAGTGATGCCGAAATTCAGCTGTGTATTAGGTTCAAGACTAAAAAACGGTAAACATAGAGACTTATACAAAATCTTGGTCCTGGACGGCCTTTATACCAGTAAGACCAAGTCAAGTCAAAACCTTTTAACTCCCAATTCACCCTTACAACGTTTTAATTTTATGTAATGTCGCCATCTTAGATTTCAAACACAAACACAGCAGCAACATTTCATCCTTAAGGGTTGATTTCTAAAAATTTCCAAAACACGTATTTGCTTAATTTCAACAACGAACAACCTTCGAGTAAATCCGAGTACAAATAAAATATACCCCATGGAAACTTTGCAACCTCTTTTCGTTTGATTGATAATATCAGACAGCATATATACACAGTTTCAAGTAAACTCAACCACAAATAAAGTATGTCCCAAATAAAAATTGCAACACTTTTTTATCCCTCCCCCCTTTGGAGGTTGAATTTTTTATAATGTCGAGATAGGTCTTTCAGAAATTAAATTAGAGACCATTAAGACCAAGTTTCAAGTCAATCTAACCACAAATAATATATGTTCCATTTAAACATTGCAACTCCTCTTCACCACTCATCCCCCCACCGGTAAAGGGATAAAAAGTATCCTATGTCCGTCTCCTGGTTGTAAGCTACCTCCTGTCCAATTTTCAGCCAAATCGGTTCAGCCATTGTTTAGTTATAGACTTCCTTTGAAATACCGATCCATGTACCTATACATGTGTGTCGTATGGTCATGTCCAACCCAGTAACATCCCCTTAGGTGCGCGCCTATATACATTTTCTATTTTCTAGAACGGTATTTACGAATATCAGTGATCACGCAAGAGCATTTTTTGTTGTCATCCTCAGTAATGCTTAAACGTAACGTTTTCGGTCGACCCTCTCTGATTACTTATCTTGACGCGGAATCAGATGAAAACCGAAAGTTAATATTATTGCGCCATCTGACGGGTCACGGCTCTTTGCAGGTGGCCGCGGGTACGACATTGTTTGTATATGCGTATGTATGTATGTTTGTCTGTACACAAACGTATTATTACACGCACAAGAAAAAAGTTTCACCTCCGACAACAACTGATTGATCTTCATTCTGGTGTCGTAAGTGATTGCATCAATTGTTAATCTTTTTCCGGGCCTAATGAGCCACGCGAAAGATTGTTATCGCGGCGATCACGTAAAAAAAGAGTACGACCAAGTTTTCTTTAAATAAAGACCCGAAAAAAGTTTCATAAATACCTAGTAACGCAAACTATTTAGGTATAATTTAAAAAAACATAGTTACTGTTTAGTATTTTCCCTGAGGTTGTAAAACTTCCTTTAGTTAAAATACCCATAAAAGATCAAAAAGTTGGATTAACTGAGCGACCTTCAAGGCATTATTTAGCCCTCAGTAGTAGTAGAATTTTTATATTTTATTTTTTATTGACATCAAGATATCTGTATGTTCCTTCCGTTTGATGACGACGTCAAAGTTTTAGACGCAACGAACTCCATAACGGAATCAATTCCTCAGTAACGATACCCATAGTAATTGACTGCTACAGGCATACAGATGGCTTATACATCTAAAATATTCTACATACACAGTCTTTGAAGAAATAGTGGGTGGTTTACGAAACGACAGATATATAGGGGTATCCATTTTTGTGCAGTCTAACTCGGGAGCGCGTAAAACGGTTGAGAAATTGTTTAGAATGCTGATTGAGGTGTCGTTAAGAGTGCTGATTAAGGTGTCATTTGAAGCGCCGATTAAGGTGTCTTTTGGAGCGTCGATTAAGGTGTGTTTAGAACGCACACCGATAGAAGCTTCATTTATTACGGCGCGATTGAAGTTTTGTTTAGAATGCATATTGAGGTAGATTGCAACAACGATTAAGGTACCGTATGGAGCGCCAGTTGAGGTGTCTTTTAGAGCCCCTTATTGAAGTGGCATTTAGAACGCCGGTTGAGGTGTCTTTTAGAGCGCTGATTGAAGTGGCATTTAGAACGCCGGCTGAGGTGTCGTTTAGAGCGTCTCATGAAGTGACATTTAGAGCGCCTGTTGATGTGTCTTTTAGTGCGCGGAATGAAGTGGAATTTAGAACGCCAGTTAAGGTGTCTTTTGGAGCGTCTTATGAAGTGACATTTAGAACGCCTGTTGATGTGTCTTTTAGAGGGTTTTACGAAGTGGCATTTAAAACGCTGGTTGAAGTGTCTTTTAGAGCGCCAATTGAAGGGGCATTTAGAACGCCGCTTGAGGTGACTTTTAGAGCGCGAATTGAAGTGAAATTTAGAACGACATTTGAGGTGTCGTTTAGAGCGTCTTATGAAGTGACATTTAGAACGTCTGTTGAGGTGTCTTTTAGAGAGTCTTACGAAGTGGCATTTAAAACGCTCGTTGAAGGGGCATTTAGAACGCCGCTTGAGGTGTCTTTTAGAGCGCAGATTGAGGTGTCATTTAAAACACTGATTGAGATGCAACGTAGAATACCGAATGGAGGTGCCTTTAAGGGCGTTTATTGGGATGACCTTTGGGGCACCCGTTGAGGCGTCGTTTAGAACTACGATTAAGTCATTTTTTGACTATTAAGATACCATTGAGAACTCAGTTGAGGTGTCTTCTAGAAATGCCGGTTGAGTTAATATTTAGAACGCCAGTTGAGGTGCCTTTTAGAGCGCCGATTAAGGTATCATTTAGAATGCTGATTGAAGTGTAACTCAGAATACCGAATGTGGTGCCATTAAGTACGCCGATTGAGGTGACCTTTGGGGCACCCGTTCAGGCGTCGTTTAGAACTACGATTAAGGCATTTTTTGACGATCAAGGTACCGTTTAGAACGTCGGCTGAGATGTCTTTTATAGAAATAAATCTAAAGTCTGCTAGATCTCGTGAAATATGAAAAAATAGTAAGTTTTACTAGGGTTTCTTGGCAGTTATCTAAGGTATTTGTCTGCTAAAGCTGATTATTTATAGTTAAAATGTAAACTGAGATATGTATTTGCTGTTGACACTCTTCAATAGTTGCACAAATACAAATAAAATGTAGCAACAATCTCGTACCGGTAACTTAATCGTTCGTGAACGAAATTGAAATTTGAATTGCGTATCTAGATCCTCCTGTACAAACAGTAGCACAGAACATGAAGTATTGTCGTCTCTCTTGAAAGTTCGGGACTCGATAAGCAGCGGCAAGTGATGCGTGTAAACTGCAATTTCCTAGAAGAACCTTTTTACAAAGGATGTTTCCGAGTAACTTCACATTCCTCCCATTGATAAACTGTCTAATATCTCTCTTTGGCGCCACCGCTGGCTCGGGGCACGACGCTATTTGTAAGTAAATAAGAAAAAAGACGACGAGATCACTCCCAACGGAAATATTTTCGCGATCGAAACTTGCCTTAAATATCGCCGCTTTACGAAGAACGACTTGCTGTCGGTTCCGAATCGATCGTAAGAAATCGGCGTAATTGAACTTCGAAAATGAATTCTCCCGGAGCGATTATAATTGAAATTAAAAGTTTAAAAACACCGGAAGACTGCAATTACTTCAACTCTCGGTCGTTTTGTCAGCTTCTTTGACTGATTCTGAAATATCGTAGTTCTCTAGTTTTGATAACGGTTTAATGAATGAATTTATCCTCGAGGCTATTATATATTCTAACCAAAATGTCTACCATGTGGACTATATCGCAGTATAATATCTGAGTCAAATTAGGAAGGCGATGTTCCATACTAATCAATTAAACAATTACTGTGGCAGTTTGTGGGACACATTTTATAGTATGGAATGAATTTGAATACGCTCATTTCTATCCTGAACCAATCTGGAATATCCCACATTCTCAACTAGGTAGATATTTAATGTAGGCCCTCTTGAGGCCTTCTTTACACTTGATTCTGCTTCCTGTATATCTCTAAGAAACTCTTCTTGTCTTCGAAGGTGTCCGAACATCCTGACTCTCCTTTTCCTTATTGATCGAACTATTACAGCCTTATCAAGTTCGCTAGAGTTACTAAATTATG